TTAAGTAGGGCCAGCAGGCCAATCAGCTGCTCTGGGACTCTTCCAATAGGACCTCAGGGGCAGAGTATAAAACTGGGGCTTGGCTTCATGGGTCCTAGGTAAGTGGTTGTCAGCAGGCTGTTAGATGGAGGGTTGAAGCATGGCTGCTCTAACTGACTTAGGTTCAAGACCCAGGAGTCATGACATCAACCCCTCCCCTTGGGGAATCCCCCACCAGGCAACGTTGGTCCAGGTTTCTCAGGGGCACTCCTATGGAAGGCTTGAACCAGGGCAAGAGATGGAGCACTTCTAGCTGGGGGTGCCCTGGTGGAATGTATATGCACCCATCAAGGTAGGTTATCCCATCCTGTGCAGAGTGTTGCATCTTGGTTCTGGCTTTTGTTTGCTCAGACTGTTCTGTCACCTCCTGGACTAATGGATTGCCCTGTGAAGCGGACCAGATTAGATCAAGCAAGTCTTGGTGTATTGTGGCACTGACAACATTAAAAGGTTTTAGGAGACAGGGTGGTTCTTGGCTAGGCTCCTCACCCTCTTGGTAGTATTCCCCCTTTCGAGATAAGGCATCAGCTTTCCCATTCCTGGTTCCCAGGCAATAGGTGATGACAAAAATCAAACCGAGGGAAGAATAATGCCCACCTGAGCTGTTCTGCCTAGATTCCAAGTGCATCCTGCTATCTACACTCCCCTGCAGTCTCTACTGGATAGAAGACAGTGTTGCTGTTTCTCTTTAACAGCTGTTGTGCCATCCCCCAGAGGTGGTAGCATTTCAGTGGTGGGTGAAGCGACTCTGATCTGTAGAGTGCTTTGGGGAGTTTTCAGCCTAAAAGTAGATGGGCATATGGGGGGAGGGCCTTTCACCAGCAGAAGGAAGACAGTAGGCGGCATAGATGGTATTGTTGGTAGGGCTGGTGTTTATTTTAGCAACACACACAAAAAGGGATTGAATTATTAATGAGAGTCCACAACTATTGTGGGAGCAGCATTGTTACAGCCCAGGGAGACACCATGGCAGGGCCCCTTGGAGTGACAGTACCGCCTGGGAGCAGGAGAAGAACCAGGGCCGCTGGGCATGCAACTAGTAAGTGAATCCAGACAGAAGGGGAATCGGAAGATTCTCCCAGCGCTGCCAGCAGGGCAAAGACAGTGCTAGCCCATTGGGGGCCCCAAGAAGAAATATGTTTGTCCCTCCCCACACACATCATATACTAAAAAAGCGAATAGGGGGCCCCCTTGAACTGCTTGGGGCCCTAAGCCATTGCTAAGTCTGCTCATGCCTAGTGCTGGTTCTGCGGCAAGGAGTGGAGGCTGGACTGGAGCTGTGCATCCTGGGCCTAGCTCAGGGAGTGCCCCATGCTGGTTGGGTTCAGCACGGGTAGGAAGCTGGCCCTCCCACTAGCCTGTTTTCTTGCCCTCCTCCATGCCCTGCCACCCAGGGCAGGTGCCTTCTCCGGCTGGAAGCCAGTCCCTTTCACGCTGCTCCTCTGCCTTAGAGACCTCTCGGCTAGCCCTGAGCATGAGAGAAGCCATGGCTTAGGGTTTCACTCTGCTGACTGCTGGCAGCGGGACCAGCATGGGAGGGATGGGCCATTCTAGCGGCCAGCCCTGGGAAGCACTACTGTGCCCTGGGCCATGAGGGCAGAACTCTGGGGTGCTAACTAACCTGGAGACACTGCATGTGAAGTGGTTCCATCCTAGCACATCTGCTGAGCCCGGACACCATCCCTCAGTGGGATGGCTCTATGGGCAGTCCTGCCCAGCCAGTGGGCTATGCCACATCCACTGATACCCAGTGAGATCCACAAAGTGGCTAAAGAGGGGCTTTGGGGGTGCTCAAAGCAGCTGGCATTGACCTGCCAGCTTGCAAATCCGCTGCCAGTGCAGCTGGGCATCTGCTTCCTGCACTACGCAAGCCCCACCTAGCCCTGGCCCATTTTCTGTCACTAAGGGAACTAAAATGGGAGTACACGCGCCTGCTTCCTGAGCCAGCTGCCACACTGCAGAGGGAGCAGGGCTCTAAGGGCATTGGGAGCAGAAGAAAGACAAGGACAGCATGGGAAAAGCTAGCTCCTTCCAAGGGCTGGGCATGGAAGGATGGAGCTCAAAGATGTTGCATGGGCACAAAGCTTCCTCTGCCGGCACTGCCAGCTTGTGCCAGGCATCAGGCATTGAAGGGGGATGTGCCTGTGCTTGCAGTGGCCTCACCCAACACACCAAAGCTAGTCACTCCTGCCGACGTGTCCCAGGATCACGTAGGAAATGCCAGCACGGACCCTCCGTCAATTCCCCATCCCTGCATCCTGCAGGGTGACCTTCCTGGGAGGGCTGCCAGCTGCTCGGGGCGGCAGCAGAGGATGGCGGGACAGATGTGGCCCATGCCACGGACTGACCTTGCATGAGGGGGCAGCATGAGGGACTGTCCCACTCCTGCTGCACATGAACACATCTCCTCCTGACTGCCAGCCCTAGGGCCCACACGGAGCTGACTGCAGGCTCTGCCCTCTGTGCCCATGTGCAGACACACTGTCACCTCCCCACACCAATGCCCTGTGAGCGAAATCTACTGAAATCCCTTCTGAGATCCCCTGCCACATGGGTCCACAGCAGGACAGACCCTACAGCAATGGGCACAGCCAAAGGGCTGGTGCAGAGATCCACCAAAGCAGCCATGCATTGGGCTGCAGGCACAGAACTCCCAAGGGCTGTATGGAGCCTGCAAATGGTCCCATGGGTGATGCTGGGTTGGGCTTCTCCTCATCCCTGCCCCGAGGCCTCTGTCTGGGCTACAGCATCTTCTCCTTTCCAAGCCATTTTCCAGCTCCTCCCATGCACTCGACCCAGGTAACACGGGCAGCCTCTGGGCCAGAGCACCGACCCGAGCCCCCAATCAGCAGTGCCCCTCAGCCAGCTAGAACGGGCTTAAGTTCCTCGAGTCTCTGGCAGGCCAAGAAAGCTGCAGCAGCAATGCATTTTGGGTAGAGAAGTCCTGGTTTCGAGGGCTAACTCCAGGCCATTGTTGGGGGGGAGGGGCATGCTGGGCATGAGGAGCTCTGGTCCTGCCCAGGGAGCTGTGCCAGGCTGGTCTGTGCCACTGGCTGCTCCCCAGAGACCCGTCCTGCTGCCAAGACATGCCTCACGCTGAGCCTGTTGCTCGGGGGAGCACTGAGAAAACCCAGCAGCACGCCCCCCTCTGCTGGGGTGTGTCATAGCCCAGCCATGCTTTTTTGCCCATCAGCCCCCCGACATGCCAGCCCCAGCCCCAGCCCCAGCGGATGTGCTTAGCCCATCCTGGGCTTCCAGCAGCCACAACACCTGGAAGGAACAGTGCACTGGCTACTGCCAGAGCCAGAGTCCAGGTCCTGCTGCCCCCAACCCCGTACCCTGCCTCCCATGTCAGACCCACGGTGTCAGCACTGAGCTGGCCATGCAGAGCCATGTCCCAGTAGTTACCCACCACCCCTGGCTTCCACAGGACAGAGCACTAAGCAGCTCAGATATCTGCATCTCACTCACAATCCCATGGAGTTCATTGTTCCAGCCACTCCAGCTTTCACTCCTGGCCACCAGCCTGTCCTCTCTTCGCCCCACTGACTGCTCCTCTCCAAGGCCTTGGCCAACGTCCTGACTGATCGAGGGACGCCAAATGCCCGTGCTGCTCAGCGCTGGCTGGGCAGAGCCCTCGTACGAGGCACGCAAGCAGCTTTGGCTAATGCTCCGCCTCTGGGCAGAGGATGCTGCCCCTGATGCCTGTGGCAGATCCTGTAGCTTTCCCAGCAGTCACTCAGGCTAAGGAGAGCTTGGGGAGTTCTTAGTGGCATAGCCTCTGGATGGCTCCTCTCTCGCCACCTGTCTGACGTGTATGGAGCCTGTCTGTCTTTGGGCCACACAACTCTGGATTCCTCAGATATGGTTGCAGCAAAGCCCTTGGGAAATGTAGCTTTCAGTTACCTCTGCAGCCTGAGGGCTAGCTGCTTTCCTGCTCCCCCTTGGTGCAATTCCCCACACATAGCACCTCACCCTGGAAGAGAAGTGCCTCTCAGGCCAGAGACCTCCCCCCCATGCAGCCACCTCTGGGGTAGAACGTGGCCACAGTATAACATTACAGCAAGCCCACACAGGCAGTGAGGGGAAAGGGCACTCCAGCCAAGCTGCAGGGGCGTTTTATGGAGGCAGTAGATGTCTCCTCATCCCAACTCTCCTGAGTCTCCCTGTCAGGGGGGAGGGGGGAGAATAAACTCTTGCAGACCCCTGGTAAGGAGTTCAGCAGCCCCCAATTACCTCTGGGGACCCAGGGTTTCCCGGCCTGTCAAGCTTCCCCTCTCAGGTCTTTAGCCAATACAGTTGTGAGGCCAGGGTGAGCGCTGCCCCATGGCCCAGGCCTGGGGGTGGGGAGGAAGGAAGCCCCACTCCCCTCCCCCATCACTGCATCATAAAGCAGAACCCCTTCCCTCATGAGCCCTGTCTGCGTGTGACTGCCTGGCTGGGCATGCGCCAGGAGGCGTCAGGTGAGGTGAGGTCCCTGATTCCGGAAAAGACATTCCCACCTCCCCAGGCCGCTGAAAACGAAGCACAGACACTAGGATTCAAAGCAGAAGAGCGTGTATTGCAAGCGGCCCCTGCGGAATGCCCAGGCCTGGTGCCGCCAAAGAGCGTCCAAAGGGCCTTCCCCCCGCAGGGAGCAAAGAACAGAGGGTGTCAAAGCAAGCCCAGCCTCCGTGGGGCATACGCTGTCATGCAAAGGGCACCAGCCCCCCATCCCGGCGGCATGAGACTGCCCAGTTGCGCCCAGCCAGCCTCACCCACACGTCTCAATGGGAATCTGATCCCCCAGGCTCTGAGAGGGGGTGCAGGTCCTCGCCCTGGGGAAAGCAGAAAGCTGGGGTCATAGAAAACAAGTGGCTATATTCTCCAAAGGAGTCCCCGTTCACCTCCCTCTCGGTACAATACGATCTCAGTGCATGGGTTCAAGGCCCACAGCTGAGCAGATTTTTTTTTCCTTTTTCCTTTAAAAAAACCCATTCGGCGGGGTTGGGGGAGCCGTGTAGGGAGGGGGAGATGTGTATTACCCACAGCCCCATTCTGCCTGCCAGTGGGACCCCTCCAGGTGCTAGGAGGGAGAAGTGGGTCATGAAGAAGGGATTTACCACTCCCACCCAAAAGTCACTCGCATGCAAAAATCCAGCATCCCAGCAGGAAAGATGGGAAGGGGGTCCCCTCATTGAGAGATTCCTATAAAGTCAGGCTCCGGGACGCAGAAGCCAGAGATGGCTCTTGCATTCAGCATGGCCTCCCTGGATCTCTGGGGAGCTCCGGTCAGCTCTAGGACAAGTAAAAACTACTTCAAACCAAACCCATGCAAGGTGGCTATTTGCTCATGTGTCTGTCTGTCTGAATGTGGTTGCCAGTCTCCGAGGCAACAAAGTTCCTCTCTTCCTCGGAAAGGGGAAGGGGAAATGAACGCTGGGGCCATGTGGGCCCTCCCCACATTGTGTTCCCGCTCCCCCACGGCCTCATCTCTCGGCCTCCATGGTCACGTTGGCCTTCTGTTCTGACGTGGCTTGTTGGGAGACTGTGGCGGGCCAGCCCGACGGCTGCGAGGGCGAAGTCCACATGCTCTGCTGCTGCTGGCTGGAGGGGAGAGCCGCAGGCCAGGCTGGGTTGAAGCCCCCAGGCTGGGGGAGCGGTGGGGGTGGGGGAGGAGGGGAGGTCGCCATAGACGCTACAGGGCTGCTGCTGTGGAAGCTCTCGGAGGCCTTGAGGCGGGAGAACATGGTGAGGGCATCGGGGAAGTTGGGGGGCGTGGCGGGCGTGTTGGCTGGAGTGCACATCTGCAGGGGAACAAAGAGACAGAAGCTAGTCAGAGACACAGCCCCTCACCCCCAGGGCCAGAGAGTGCAGTGCACAGCAGTTCTGGGGCAGAGCATGGGCGCAGTGTAACAGCACGGAAACACCTCGCCAGTCATGAGGGCGAGAACTACGTCCAAGGGAGGCTGCAGGGGCAGTTAGGGAGGCTGACTGCAGGATGCCGTTAATGACCCAAGGGCTCAGGGTCTCCTCCAAAAGCCAGCAGCCCAGGACCCACAGCACCACACGGGGCATCAGTACTAACTCAGCGAGAGCACCAGCAGCTGGATTGCCAGCACAGATCCCTGCCACACCTGGGCCTTTCCTGGGTGGTCTCTACCCAAGCACTAGCCAGGTCCAGGCAGGCAGGGCTGGGGGAGAGCTGGCGCAGGCCAAGCAGCTGGAAGATGGCACCAGGGATGGAACATTTATCTATCTTTAAAGGCTCGTCTATGCAGGGAAATTCATCAGCATAATGAGCCCCCGGTAGTTATACCAGGGTAACTCCGGAAGCAGCAGTGCCCCCGGGGAGTGCTGCTAGCAGAATTACAGCAGTACCGGTATGCTGGCACATTCCTCGTGTAGTCCAGCACTGAATATGTGCCTCAGTTTGATGCCCTTGGAAGCAAGGGGCTCGCAGCCCTAGCTAGAGCCGGCCATGGTGCTGCTGGGCAAGCTCTGCTGGTGTCCCTCTACCCCAGTGGCTCTCAAACTTTATTACTGGTAACCCCTTTCACATAGCAAGTCTCTGAGTGCGACCCCCTTTATAAATTAAAAACACTTTTTTATATATTTAACCCATTATAAATGCTGGAGGCAAAGCGGGGTTTGGGGTGGAGGTTGACTGCTCGCGACCCCCCATGTAATAACCTCACGACCCCCTGAGGGGTCCCGACCCCCAGTATGAGAACCCCTGCTCTATCCTAACCACAGCCCCTGCAATTCCAGTCCTGGGCTCCCCCCACACCCAGACACACACAAAGCTCTGCCAAGGTCCCTCAGGCCTGCTTTGCCTCTATTGCTGCCCAGTGGAGTCAGAGGCTCTGCACTCCTCTCCTGCTCTGCCTTCCCAGCAGCGCTGGTCTTCGACAGAACCTGGAGCTGGCTAGGAGCCACCGCAAGGTCAGGCAGGTCCCTGTGGCTTCCCTGTCACTGCGTTTGGGAAGATGTGGCCTCCACACTGCAGGCCTCTGCCTCCCCACAGCCTGCACTGGCAGAGACCGTCCAGGGCACGAGGAGCACTCGCAGAACTCGGGGTCGCTGCATCCCTGACAAACTTGCCGGGAGCTGTCGTCTTCCCTTACCACTGGGGCAAGGGTGCGACTGATTTGTGTTAGCCCAACCTGGGCCAGAGAGGATCCCAGCATCCAACCCCCGGGCATGACAGGCAGCACCCCACCCCGTAACTCCATGGCAAGCTCCAATCAGTAATCGCTATTGCTACCACAACACCTCCCCCTCCAGGGCTTTAACGAAGCCTGCCAAGGTCGAGATAATCGGGGATCACATCACTCAGCAGTCAAATGCATCCACCCCTGGTGCGTAGCCCTGAGCGGCAAAGCAGCACCTCACCACAGTCTGGGACGGGAAGTGAAGAGCGCCGTACCCAATTGAAACTGCAGGGGCTAGATTTGGGGAGGAATTCAGTCCAAACGCTGACATGAACATTCACATTAACACCCAGATGGCAGCTCGCACATGTCTGTGCACAGCTTGTGAGTTGTGCTAGGTGACCTGTACTAAGCATTACACTGTTATTACTCGAGAAAACCGTTTCAGAGCCTTACTCCACAAAGGTGCAGGACAGACATTTTATGTCTCATCCTAAAGCCCCATGCAGGACAGCACCCACTAGCACCGCAGTGCACTCAGCACTGCCAGCAGAGAGCGCCCCCTACTGACCCATCCTGCTTGCTGCAGCACTGCACCCTGTAATGCCCTGGGGTCCGCATTAGGAAGGGAAAGCGCCCCTAGCTCTGCATTGGGGACAGCACTGACTGCGTAAGGAGAGCACCCCCTACTGAGCCCCCATCCCGCTCCCTGCAGCACAGTGCCCGCTAGCACTGCACGGGGGCCAGTGCTGACTCAGAACCCCCCCAATGCAGTGATTACATCACTCGTCATTCTGACCAGTGTCTGGGAGTGGCCAGGTGATGCGCAGCAAGGTGCCCCGCACGCTGCACTCAGGAGGGGCTGAGGCTCTGTTGGGTCCTGGCTCAGGGGCTGCAGTAGAGGCTGGGGCGGGCGATTGCACCGGCAGCCTCTCCCCCTCCTCAGGTGGCCCAGTGCCCATGGCAGCAGCTTCCCCGCAGGTTCGTGCAGGCAGGTAAGTGGCTTGGAGCAGGCGCTCGGCAGGGGTGGGTATTGGAGCCAGCACGTCTGGGTGGCTCCGCCAGGCTGCCAGCTCCTATCAAGGCTGCTCCCTGCAAGAAGCAGTTATTTCAGGCTGCCGACGACTAATCCTCTTTCAAGAGCTCATGTCAAACATCCCAGACAGGAGCTGTACATGGTATCCTTGAGATCCAGCCCCTCCCTGCACCCTCATTCCTCCCGGGGACAGACCCTTCGGGGGTGCCCATGAAGGAATATGAACGGCGAAGCTGCGTTGGGAGGGAGGAAAGGGGAGGGGTAAGTGGGGGTCTCAGCCCCACTGTGGTTTATGACATATGCCAGGGGCCCTTCTGATGCACAGAAAGATCTCTAGGAACTGTCAATACAACCCCATTCCCCCAGTCCAGATGCCCTGGCCCCCTGGCGTATGCTCAGCTCCTGCTGCCCATCATCCAGCTCATAGCAGGATCCCCCTCCCATCTAACCAGCTGGGGACACATCACTCAGTTTAGGAAGGATGGGGGGTGGCCCCCCTGCCTCAGAGCCCCTGCTCTGGGATGGACTGGACTCCAATGCCAGGGCTCCCCCTAACCTGCGAGCTTGTGCCACCCCAGGAATCAGCTGGCCAGGACAGCAGCTCCCCACAGCCAGCCCCTGCCCTGAGCTCACGGTCTGCAGCCCAACTGACTCCAGGATGTCCAGCCCCATGCAAGAGGGCTTTGCTCCCAGCTGGGGATGGGAGGGGGCAGTGAGCTCATCTCCACCCCCTCGGCTGCCAGCGCTGGAGGCTCTTTGCAGCGTGGCTCTTGCTGGGTGCTCGCTCTGCATGCTCACTGCATGCTCCAAATCCCTGATTGCCCCAGAGAACGGCAGAGTCAAATGAGGACACGGCAGTCAGCAAATCCCAGGGACCCATCTGCACAGGCAGATTACGGCTGCCCAGGCACGACAGTTAAAGGGGCAGAGCATAGGGACCCCAGGGACTGCTGGGGGCGAGATTTAACAGGGAAAAGCGTTGGGCAGAGGATAAGGTGGGGGGGGGGGTCCACAGGCTGTCAAGAAGCAAATTGGCAAAGTGCTGGGCAGCCCAGGGGCTGCTGGGCAGCGAGATTTAAAGGTGTGTGTGTGTGTGTGTGTGTGTGTGTGTAAAAGCAGGCATTTGTGAGAGCATACATGTGTGTCTGCACATGTCCGTGTATCTGCTACGTTACAAGTGCAGGGTCCTTCTGTTCTCGCCTGTCCTGCCAGCAGAGCAAAGCCTCAGCTCCCAAGGAGGAGCAGGGTAGGTGCAGAGCAGACTGGTTTGCCGTGGACTCACAGTGGAGCCAACGCCAGGGCCCACAAGGTCCTTTTCTAGGCTCCACATCTCTGAGGGGGTCAGTTCCTTCTCCTGGACTCCATTCAGCACACCTGCCCCAGGGGCGCTGGTGGGGGTAGGGGCTCCCCCGGAACTGAGTGGCCCAACCAAGATGCCAACCTTGTGCTGCTGGGTCATGCAGGACGTGTGGACCCGCTGCTGGGCTGCAGGTTAGGCCCAGGCAGCCAGGAGCCCTGCTCAGCGGGCCAGGGAGCGTTAACCAGCCACTGCCCCCCTGTCTGGGATGCCACTCGCCCGCCCCTCACCTCACTCAGCACATGGTGGCCAAGTGCTGCTGGACCTGTGCGGGGGAGGCAGGGGTGGCCCTGTCAGGGCCAGGGGTTCTGTGGGAGGCTGCAAGAGCCCCGCCCACCTGCAGGCTGCTCTGTTGTTCCTCAATCGGCCTCCAGGCGGTGCCCAAGAGCAGCGCAACCTCCCCTTGCCCTGGAGCCCGCTCACTGGGGCTCGGCTCTGCTGTAGTAACCCAGGAGACAGGCCAGGAGCCGCCACACGAGTCGCTGCCCCCATGCCGTTGGCCCGGGGGAGGAGCTGATGATGCTCAGGGCCTCAGGACTCTCACAGACACCCCCCGCCCCCACACATTCCAGCACCATCTCCAGAGCCAGCCACCCTCTCTGCGCTGCCTGGAGCAGGGCCCACCCGGCAGCAGCTCCCTTGGCTGTCTGGGGGACTGTTTGCACCCAGGAGGTGAAATGGCTGAGCTGGCTTTGCCATCCCAAATCCCCGGCCCTGCCTCTGGGCCGCTCACCTGAACCCTCCTGTGGCGGGGCAGACGGGACAGGTGCCATCAGCAGTGCAAAGAGCAGAGCGATGTGGAGCCTTGACCACCTGGCCCCTTCACACCACGGAGGCTGCAGGAGACATGAGAAGGGTCTCCAGGCCAGAGAGCATCACAGCGGCCTCCATGGAGCTGGCAGCTCCTCCAAGCACTGCTGGGAGCTCCCGTAACATTGCGGTTCTGTGCAGCTTAGTGTCAGGGGTGTGGGATGCACCGTGGGCTCTCCTGGGACCCAAACTTCCCCAGCCAGCAGCAGTAAGGGCCTGGCTGGCCACCGGCAGTGCAGGGCAATGGGATTAGCCCCAGCACCCAGCAGGAGGGGCAGGAAATTGCTACATTCCTGCTCTGCCTGCTCATTGCAGCACAGTAGCTCATGGGACATTCAGGGCCACCACAAACAGCAGTGGGCCACCAACACCTGCCTGTGGCCAGTGCACTGAACTACACTGGACTCCATGGATGCATCACCTCCAGCACCCCCCACAGAAGGACTCTTGGGAGAAAGCTTTCCACTGGGCAGAGCAGGGTTCAGTTTTCTGTCAGGCACCTTCCTGGAGTGGGGGACTTGATGGAGCTAGCCAGCTCATGGCTCTCTAGCTCTCAGGGAGGCTCTCACAGCTGGAGCCCCAGGAGGGGAAGGGAAGGGTGGCCCATTAATGGGGATGAGGGGCCAAAGGGAGTGAGTCTGGTTCAGCTCCAAGCCGCTGGGTGTGGGCCCTGTTCCCGTCGCCTCTCTGCCTGCTTCTCCTGCACTCAGAGCACTAAGGATCAGCCTTCCGGACAAGCCTGGCTTTGCTCTGAGTGCCCCGCTCCCAGCCCCTTCCTCTAAGCCTGCCCCCCATCTCTGCTCCCTCCCACCTGCTACACCTGCCCACCCCTCCCTTCCCTCCTGCTGCAGTCTCTGCTTTGCATTATCCGACAGGTGAAAATTACAGCTTCTTCCTCCTCCCATTTCCGTATAGAGCGCCCCCCGCTGTACAGGGCACACTGCATGCTGCTGCACTCTGGCTTGCAGGCCTCGTTTACCCTCACCCCAAATAAGCCACACTGCATGCACGAGCCTGTGGCCTTTGGCTCCCCCCAAGCGATGTTTCCAGAACACAGTCCACCCCCAGCTTCTCTCTCTTGGCAGGAAGCTTCCTGCCCTCCCGCCTCCCCTGCCCCGTGGCTTTGCTGTGATTTTCTGCCCTCCCTCCCAGAGGGGTGGAACAGAGGCCTGGACATTAGCAACATCAGCCCAGCCGTGCAATGCCAGCGCTGCTGCTGCACCGATTTAGCAGAGGGAAGGGTCGGGGAAGCACTTACCATCTGATGGTGATGGCTGTAGGGGATGTTTGTTTCTTGGAAAAAAGCACTGAGCGCAGTCTGCAAAAGAGGAAGGAAGAGATTTATCATTTGGCTGGGAACGAGACGCTCTCTCCCACCTGGCCCTCTGGAGCACAAGCCTAGGCCTTGGTCTAGCTCCCTCATTCCCAGAGTAGGGCTCTGGGATCGGGGTCCTAGGGCACAGCTCCACTCTCGGCTCAGCATGGGTGGCTCTCGACTGCCAGCGTCCAGCTCTCTGTTGGTGGGTGGGGCTCCCGGAGCAGGCAGGGCAGCAGAGAAGAAGCCCACCTGTGTGTGCGCAAAAGCAAAATAGCCCCTCCGTTTGCCACCAAACTCTGGATCCTGCGTCACTTCCAACCCAACTCATGTGATCAGAACCCTGCAACCACCCTGAAATAGCCCCTTTGGGCACTGGCCTCCATGCCGTGCAAACACAGGAATGGCTCCTTGGTCAGCACATGCCATGGCTCAAGAGAAACCCCCCCCCCCCAGACTGCCACTTCTTCTTAAAAACACATACACAACGCTGCATGTGGAACAGCTCCAAGGGCCCCTGCAGAGCGAACGGTGTTTGCCATTTAGTTTCACAGACAGATGCTACACATATGGACAGACTTCACTCACTGATGAAATGCAGCTACTTCTGGGGTGGAGCCCAGCACTACATTATGCAGCCGTTTGGCACAGGAAGTGTAGAAGAATACCAAATCCAACTGGGGCTTTAGGGAGAATTTAGGTTAGTGGAATGTAATTACCCAAGCTTGAATTAGACAAGGAGACCAGGGCGAGCACTCCTATGCTCATGGAAAGTGCCAGGGAATTTATAATGACCACAAGCAGTTATGTCTCACCTCCAGCAGCACAGCACCCCCTAACACCAGGCTGAGGCACTGGTGTAGAAATCCCCATTTAGCTGACATTCTGAGGAACATCCAAATCATTTGGGAGTTTGAGAGACTCTGGAGAATTAAACAATCAAATAGACCAGAGGGAGTGTTGGATGGAAGGGGCTGGACACTCCTCTCCCACTGTGTAAATTTGGAGTAACCCCAGGTAAGTCAGTGGTTCACACTGTATAAAAACAGAGATGAGAGAAGAATCAGGTCTGTGGTGTTTTACTGTATGTCCCCGGTGCAGTGTCTTTTCATCATATTGTTAACTGATTTCTATAGCAAGTTTTGCCACCCTTGCAGCATTTTACAGAGTCTCAAACAATATCCTTGTAGGAATCAATTTGACCACCCCCCAAAATGCAGCCACTTCTGGGCTAAACCACAGCAGCTGTTAACAGCAATGCTGCAGAATAGTTCGGGGCGGAAGTGAAGAGTGTGCCATGCCCAGTTAGTGCAGAGGTGCCAATGTTTGCAATACTGAGGGCCATGGTGGCATCTGCTTGGCTAGCTGCTTGTGTAAGCCCAGGGTGGGGGGTAACAGGTGTGCCTCTCTCCAGAGGTGATATGGGAGGACAGGATGGGCTCCTACCGGATAACAGACTAATAGTCATATGCTGCTCTCTGGCTCCCCCTATAGGCAAACTGGGAAAGCTGAGGGTCTCTGTACCTGCTGGCAGGTATAGTTTGCCTATACCTCTAGGGGTTCAATAGCATGCCCCAAACTGAGCAGTCTGGCCTTTCCCTACACTCCCGAACTGTGATCTCTTTATTGTGCGATGGCAGGTATGTGAAGGGGGAAGTGAATGTGAACACACCTCGGGTTACCTAATAGGGGAAATGGGCCCAAAGTGGGTAGCCAGGATCAAGCTTTGGGTCCTTGTCTGAGGGTCTGTCTATACTGTAATCACTGGGTGTGATGATAGCCCTGAGCTAGCTTTAATCCCGCTAGTTCAGGTCTTTGTGGCTGTGAAGCTGTGGCAATGTGTCAGTACAGCCTCGTCCCAAGGCTAATTGTGCAGGTTCTAGGTGGGTTTGTACAGCCTATGCTGAGAACACATAGCTGCAATTTCACTGCGCTGGGACCTCACCTAGCTAGATTAAAGCTAGTCTGGGTACGGCTACTCAAACTGTAATTATACCGTGATTACAAGGCAGACATACCTTAAAACAGGGGCTGGGGCCCTGGCAAGAGGAACTGCAGAGGGTAGCTTATCGGTTGAGAGAAGTCACATGAGATGGGGTGGATGGCTGAGGTGGGGCTGGGAGCTCAGGTTTTATGGGAGCTGGCTACCAGCCAGTTGGTTGGTCTAGTAGTCGTTTAGTTGGCTCGTTATATCCCCATAAATGTTAATAAAACTCATAGAGGGGAAGGCAATTATTGCTGAAGGAGACTAGGGAGTTTAAGGGGGTTTTTTGGGTCCCAAACCCTTGAGGGGCATATGGTTTTAGTTAAGGGTAGGCACCCTCCGTTGGCTGAGCTTCTGAGGCCCTACACTCAGCTTGCTGGCATTTGGCTGTTTGGATGTAAAGTGATAATTTTTAAATGCTAAATCTGATCAATTGCAAAATTTCAGGCAACATTCTAGACCTCAATGGGCAGAACCCTGTTGATTTGGGGGGAAAGTGGAAAACTGGGAGGGGGAAAATAGGGGACATATGGAGCCCCTGGCATCTGGTTGGCAGATCCCTCAGCTGTAATCAGGTCCGAAATTGTCAGAGGATCAAAGAACTGGTGGATGGAGCCATTAAAACCTTCTAGAAGAACAATAACCCATCTCACCTCTGCCCTTCCTCCCAAGGACTTTAAAATTCTGACACCCAGAAAGGAAATAAGAATGGGGGGTGGGAAGAATGGAATGCACAAAGAGCCTCTGGCATGGGGGAAAGGGTCAGTGGGGAGGGGCCCCCAGAGCCCCTGGTGGGGGGAGGGGCCCCCAAAGCCCCCAGTAGAGCTAAAAGCATTCATCAGTTAACAATGGCTCTTTGCGCTCCCTGCTGAGCTGCCTCCCAGCAGCAGGATGAGTGCTCAGCCAACGGGGGAGCTGGAGGGCAAAGAGAGCTAAGGAGGCTTCGTTCACAGCCTGCCCAAAGTCTGCTCCAGGCTGGGGGCGGGAGGAGAGGACACCAGCTGCCTGCCCCTCCCTTCTGTCCAGGGGGATGAAAGATCCTTTGGAGCCGGAGAGAAAAAGAAAACAGCCCCTGGCGTGGGGAGATTGGAGGGCCCAGAGCTCTTGGCATGTGGCCAAGGGGGCAATAGAGGGCCACAGTGGCCCTGGCATGAGGGAGGAGGTGGGGGTCTGTAGCAAGTCCCTGCAATACTTGGGAGGTGGGAGGATGGCCCACAGGGAGCCCCTGATGTGTGCAAGGAGCTCGGACACAGAAGCTAGGAAGGGTGAGACTCCCTGGTTTTAGTTAATTTAAACAGGACTCCAGGCACTGTTTGATCCTGGTGCCCACTGCTACTAAAGGCACCTGGCAGAGTTACTAGTCTTCCTGCCTTTCACCAGAGAGGCCCAATAATTGCTCGTTAGCTGTGTTCCCCAGCAACAGAACGGGCAGTAGATTAGTTCAGCAGTTGGAGGACAAGCACGGGCTGCAGTTTCAGAGTCTGGGGGAGAAGGGCAGCAGGATATGGCCACTGGGCAGGACTGCGGTTTGCCCTACCTTACAGCAACAAAGGAATGTAAGTGGGTGAAGTGGATGGTCCAGACATGAATCTAGTCAGGACACAGAAGTGCGTGCACACACGCAAAATGAAGCAACTAATCCTCTTCTCGTTCACTCTGGTTTCACCCTGGTGCAGCCCCACTGACTTCAGTGGTGTCTCTCCTTTTCCTCCTCTCCTCCCCCCAATTTACAGCAGCAGAAAGGAATCGAACCCTAGGAATTATTGCAAGGTCTTATATTTCACAAACAGCCCCATGTGTGCTCTGTAAATATCTCAGCAAAACCCTTTTCAGGTCCTTCCACTGGCTGGGTGGAGTTACTGTTCCTGGCCCCTCGATAACAGCCTGGCCCATGGGGAGAGTCACCCACCAAGAGCGGCTCCTGAACGTGCCCCTCCCTGAGCTCTGGAAAGCCACCAGTCTAATCCAAGGATAGAACGCCTCCACCAGGAGGAGGGGCACTGGGAACAGCCAATCCCCTGGTGGCACACACCCTATCCCACCCCCTAAACTGTGGCAACAAAGTTGACATCATTGCAACAGCAGCAAACTTCAAAAAAAAAAAAAAAAAAGAAAAAGAAAAAGAAAAGGCACAGAGAAAAATCTGCCCTGGTTTTCGTATTCAAATGGGAGAGAATTTAGGGCTAGTGAAAGAGCCAGTGACGGAATCCTCAAAATACCCCCAACTCCCAGGAGCCACCCCAATCCCCAGAGACAGAAAAATGTTCCTTCAAAATTAATGGTTTCCTTCTCAGGCCTTTGTTAATGTGTTACAGGCTGTGATCCTCTTACACGGATACAATCTAACAGTTTCCCAACCTCTGGCCCCACAAGCGTGTGTTGTCTTCGGTGATGTTTCCGTCCCCACTGATATGAGACACCTACTGGGAGCTCCTGGCCTGCTGGATCTGACAGGGCTGTATAGAGACTTGCAGGACATTGAGAGCATCATGTAAGATGGCTGGGGCCCATGCAGTGTTCTGACACCATGGCAGTGCATCACAACACAGTAATGTTTGCATTGCACAAGGATGTCAACATGTGGGTTTGAAGGTGCTTCATCTACCAACAGTTACCAATTGACAGGCAGGGCCAGGTTCTACTCTCAGGTACATTGGGATGAATCTGGAACAATTCAATAGACTTGAGTGAGTCTCCTCCTGAAGTACACCGCTATGATTGAGCGGATGGGATCCCTGAAATCTCGGCTTTGCTGGCAACAGATTTAGCTTCACTCATTGGGAAATGCTGGATAAATCCCTTCTGGAGACCAGCCTCTGATCAGGCCAAAGTCAACACACATTTTACAGAGTAAATTACCAACCATCCCCAGCTCCAGTGAATCAAGAGCACCCAGCCCCTTGGTTTGTCTGTCAGCTTTTCCCTGAGCCTGCGTGGGTTACTGGGTACCAGGGCTCTTATGGGACCAGAATTCTCGTCTGATGTGAATGCACAGATTGGGAAATTCCCAAATAGCCCAGAGAGGCTGGGTGGCAAAATGACAGGAGCCCAGAAATTCACTACTAACCCTTACAATGCCAAGAACAAGTGAAGCTCACCCCAAAGGAACTAAAGATAAGTGTGCTTGTCCTCAGAGACAAATGCCTCCTACAGCTCCCCCAAATGCTGATCCCTGCTCCCTCCCATCAAGATTACCTTCCAGTTCCCCTGCCCTAGAGCACCCCAACTTGGCCTCTCCACCCACTGCTGGTTCCCTCCTGTGCTGTGCCTCCCAACCCTGCAGAAGGAAATGCCCCCTCATTAGTACAATGTGCATTAACCACAGGGCCCAGAAACCTAGTCATGGAGCAGGACCACCATTGTGCTAGGCACTGTACAAACACAGACAGCCCTTGCCCCCAGAGAGTTTGCATTGTATGTTCATGTGATCCTGTGCAACCCGCCTCCCAGTAGCTGGAAATACTTCTCAACCTCCAGATCCACTCCCTCCAGCCCTTAAGTGAGCACAGCCCAGGTGTCACATGCTTGGAAACAGCACAGTGTTCAAAGGTTAAAGCATTACCTTGCTGCGTGGAGCAGTCCGGAAGGGCTGTAAATGGGGCAGATTATATGTATTTAAGGGCTTTGTCTAGATGGGGAAATTTACCAGCATAACTCTACTAGTGTAATGATACCACTCTAGTTAAACCAGTATAACCCCAGAAGGATATCCTTATTCTGATATCAGAGTGTCCACACAAGAGGTGATACTGGTGTAACTAAACTGGTAGAATTATACTAGTAGAGTTATGCTGGTAAATTTCTCCTCTAGACAAGCCCAAAGATGCAGCAGGAACAGCCAACTCCTGTTGCTTTGTCACCAGACCCTCCAGCTCATTTCAGCTTCGTTGTCAGGCAATTTATTACCTTGAAATGTTAAACGGGAATGGACCATCCTGCCCAAAGAGAGTGGGAGCATCAGCTGCCAGTGAAACACTGGTGGCTGGGCCGCGCTCTCTGTCCCTGGGCCATGGTGTGATGCAGGAGTGGCACGGTAATAATGCTCTCGGCGCACAGCTCATGGGATCATTGGTTACGGAGTTCTGAGTAACAGGAGCAATGTGGTCCCCCAAGTGAAAGAGATTGTTTGCATCAATAACCTCAGAGTGTGATTCTGCCACCTTCACACTAAGCAATCCCTTGCTGCAGCAGTAATGCTTCTGAAACCAAGGAGACCACTCAGTGGACCAACTCCTCAGCAGGTGTAAATTAGCACAGCTCCACTGAACTCCACGGAGTCATACACGCCGAGGAGCTGGTCCAGCCTGGAGAAGGGCACCCATGAAAGGGGGTGGAGTAACAATACTCTCCAAATGCAGATCATGGGCTCAGACTAAGAGGGGTTTGGAGTACCCAGAAGACAATACTCCTAGAGCAGAGCTCTGAGAAGGGGGCATGCTCAGCAACCATTTTGCAAAGGGAACTATCTGACCATTTTGCACCAAAAGTGACTGGTAACTTGTCCCATTGGGTTGTTTACAGCTGAGCTTCCTCTGAGTCATGCGAGTGCCAAACCAGCACGGGAGACCCGCGGCCAGCACACTGCTGTTTCCACTTGTGCAACTTGCCAAATAGTAGCAAATTTCTGGAAAATGTAATTGAAACAATAACTTTCTGTCGCAAGTTCCTACTCCTGGTGCTTCACCTGTAAAAGGTGGTAGGGTCTGATCCTTCTCTCACACCTGTCTTACAATGTCCAGTAGGGCTGCTCTTGATTTACCCTGGTGAACAGAATCAAGGTCATACTACATATGTAAATGTGTCCAATATTTTCTTTTGCAAAATATGCAGGTAGGCTTGCCTTGTGGGTGCCTCTCTCAGTATGCATAAACAGTGCACAGAGAGAGAGTGAGATATTCATCTGTTTGGATTTGCGCACACACACACACACACACACACACACACAGTCTGATTTTGACCAGCAGCCTCTGATTTTGCACCCAGAAAACCTGTGACTACAGTATGTAGCTGTCTGAACTACCTGATCAAACCAGCAGCGCAGGAAGTCAAATGCTATAAATTGCATCCAGAATTGTTTCTTTTACAGATCAGGGCTGTAGTGCATATAGAACAAGGGATGCCCCAGCCATGCAAATGTGTGTAATAGAAACCTTTTGCTCTCTACACGGACTCAAATCTCCTTCTGTGTCACAGAACAGACACGCTAATTACAACAGTGCCATTAGTGACAAAACCATCACACTGAGCTGCAAAGAGCTGCTGGTGCCGCATGGAAAACATTTTGTTTGGACACAGCCCTCCCTGCTACATCCCCTGAGCATGCACACACTCCCATTCTTTACCACCAGGGAGCTTCGCAGGACTACTGCACCCGCACAGTCCGCCTGCATGTTCCCCACCTGAAGCTGCAATCCTGCATGTGACATCACAGTCACTTCCCCAGCAATCACTGCTGATGTCACAGAGGATCCTGACTCCAGGCCAGAGGAATAAGCAGCTAGAGCCAATGAAGTTTTAACCAGCAAAATCTCTTCTCCTGGTGCTGCCTTAGGAATCAAACCCCAGGGGACAGGAACACAGGAAAGGCCAGACTGGGGCTCTTCAACCCATAGCCACTAAGGGGTGTCATTCTGCCTGCAGGGAACGGGGAGGTGTTGGGGGAGTGCACATAAGGTCAGTTATTGCTATGCTCCCACCAAGTACAGGTGAGCACGGAAAGACTGCCCCGGCAGTGCCAGAGCTCGCCCCAATACTGCTACCCTTTAAAAGCAAATCCACTCCTGAGCAGCGCCCACAAAGGGGTGGGTGGCCCCTGCAGATCTGCTACAGTCAGCCCGGGGGAACCCTGACCATCTGGGAGCAATGAAAAACAGTCCCACTTTAATAACACAGGCAGAAGACAAGCACACCCCATACACAGACATACACCCCTGCTATATAGTACTCACATGCATGGACAGCTGTCTATACAAACACACACTAGACATATATACACTCCTACACACGTGTCTAATACACACAGAGCTGTACACATATACCCCATCCACGTACACACACACAATTCACACCAACACTAAAACAGCGCCGGGAGTGACAGTACTGATTGAGTCTCCTTTCCCAAGAAGGGTTAGAGACAGAAAAGCCACCCCTGGCCTAGGGAGGCTGACCAGTGTGGGCCTGACAAACAGCAATACCATGACAGCATGGAGCATTCCCCATCAGTGGGTGTGCTGAGCACACGCACACAGCACACACATGTATGTCTGTCAGGGCAGCACAGAGATGCTGGCACAGGCGGTCGTATCCCAAACAACTCCCAGTCCCACCACCCACTCCCTGAACGGTGGCAGTACCCCCAACCATGGTGCTTTCCATTCCGCCAGACCCTGGGGCACCCGCAGTGGTTGGCGGCAGCTGAGGCCAGTTGGACGTGCCCGGGATTAGCCTCCTAATGGGCAGGATGGGTGCACATGGCACTGGGGCCACCGAGGCACCCCGCTCCCCACAATCACTCCATCGCAGCCTGCTCAGGGCGGCTGTGAGCGCCCTGGGGACTTGCTCTGGACACAGCAACCAGGCGGGCAGATCAGATGGTTAGGCTCACTCCCTGGGCACAAGGCTTGTCCCGGACTGACCCCCCAGCTCAGCACTAGGGCTCAGCACTGGGGCTCCTCCCCCCAGCGGCACTGCCCAGGCCCTGGAGCCCCACGCCCGGGAGCTCCTGCCTCCACCGCCCCCTCAGGCTCGAGCCCCCGGCCCGCCCGAGGTGCAGGCTGGGGCGCCAGAGGCACCGATCGGGGCTGGCCGGGCTGAGCTCCCCCGCGGCGCGGGCTGTAGCAGAGCGCCAGGAAGCCCCTCCTGCCCCGCGGCCCCACCCGCGCCCTCCGGCTCCGCGGGGTCTGCTCGCCAGTTGCCCCAAGGCCGCTCCAGCCCTTCCGCGGAGCCCCAGGCTGCAGGGCCAGGGCACCCGTGACCTCGCCGGTGCTGCAAATGGGCTGCGATCGCGGGGCCCCCGACAGGACGCCCCCCCCGCCCAGCTCTGCCGCGCCCCGGGGGCTCACCTCGAACTGCCAGTGCGCCGCCTGCAGCAGCTGCTTCGCCTGGTCGGCGGCGCAGCCCGCGGTCAGCACGAACTGGTTGATCATGACCTGGTGCTTCAGCTCGTCCATGTTCACCGACATGCCGCCGCCGCCGCCGCTCGCTGCCTGCAGTGCCCTGGGGTCCCTGGGTCTGCGCCGCTCACAGCGCAGCCACCATTACAGAGCCGGCTCCTGCTAATACAAATATTTACTGGAGGCAGGGGACTGACTCACCCAGCCTGGCCTCCCTGACGGCACAGCCAGGGCGGGGCTGGGCGGGCAGGCTGGGAGCTGTAGTCCAGAGGCTGGGCTGGCTAGCTGCGGTGCCAGGCGGGTGGGGTAACAGCTGGCATTGGACCAGCCTCTCTTGGTGAGAGAGACAAGCTTTGGAGGTACCCACCCGTGCACACAGGCAGGCTTGCAGAGGAAGTCCCCCTCTGCGCGCCACAGAGCAATATGGGTTATTTGCAGGACTTCAACTCCATGCACCGCTGCCACCGGCTGATGGGCTAGCCAGGCCTAGGCAAGGGTATCGTAGGCTGTGTCAAGGCCGCAGTTGTTCACGTTGGCTAAGGAGGTGGGGATAGCCCCACCGCTGGTATCCAGGCCATAGCAGCGTTGCTTCCTAGCATATCTCCTTTGCCTGGTCCAGTTTTAAAAGCAGAAAGCACCGCAGGGCTGCTCTGTGGGCTCCCCTCCACGCCGGGGGGGGGCTTCACCCTGCACACACTCGTAGCTGGGAAATACGACATCACATGGAGTGTGTGAAGCTGTGCCTGGGAGCCAGGGCAGTAGCGTAGCAGCCCTGTCTGCTGTGCCAGCTGCTCTCAGACCCAACGGCAGCGCTCACATTCCCAGGGCAGGAAATCGGCTGACTCTGGCCAGCAAAGCCAGCGTTATGCATAACCGGGCAAAGCAACTGCTTCAGACCTGGAACAGCTCCAGGGGCCCCCTATTAATTATAGTATGTGTTGTGTGAGCAGGGCCCCCCAAAATATTCCTGCTTAAGGCCCTCAATGGGCTAGTACCAGCACTGCCAAGCAGTCAGTCCCCACCCTGCACCAGGCTGAGCAGCCAGCAGACACCCCGTTTCGAGGTAGGTAAGATACTCAGCACTACGTTTCCCAGGAGCCCTTGGTTTGTTTGCATAGTTTTGCAGGCGGGGCTGACGTGTGCTGAGTGACGTGTCAGGACAGCCAGTCATCGGCCAGGCTGTGTTAGTACCTGACCATATAAGGTAAACAAATCTGGCGGCCCCAATGAGAACGCGAGGGAGGTGGGCGCGGGGCTGGGCTGGGAGCAGCCAGGGCTGTAGTGAGGCTGGCTTTGCTGCGCCTGGGCCCATTGCCAGCATGGCAATAGCATGGGAGGGAGGCCCGCAGTGTTTACAATCAGCCGCATGCAGCTTCCTGTTTGTGTGCAGGGAGGTTCAGGCTGCAGCCAATGCACTAGCACAAAGGGACTCCAGGCACCAGGATCTGGCTTAAGTCATATTGTGTGTAAACCGTTGTCTGAAACTAGGCCAAAGCTGGGTGAACGCCAAGGTACGGTGGGTTCCATGCCATACACCCTATGGGAAGGCCCTGTCATACAGCCCATGCCCAAGTGCTGCCCAGCTAAGGGCTGATTAGCCCAGAGCCGAGGATGTGAAAGGGAACAGATCCGTGCTCCCCATACACACTGAGAACGGCAGTGACAGGTTCCAGGATACTGTGTTATCTGCATCCAAGCAGGAAGCATCACAGGCTGGAGATTGTCACCTCTGATCCGACTTCCACATTGATAATGAGACTCACAAGGACGTTTTATAGGTGCCTGGATTCTAGCCGGCTGCAGGACAGGACTGGGGAGTATACACTTTAGCTTTCCCCAGGTTCTACTGCCACATGAAAATCTGCAGGGGCAATCAATATGTTGTTCTGGTTAAACCAGGGTAATGTTTAACCAGGGAAAGCTACAGCAGTGAATTAATTATTATGAGCAGCTGCATTGTCCATTAGGAGGATCGTGGATGTGTTCTCAATGTACATTGTCATTTATGGTGCTCGTACACACAGTAATGATCTGTATGCTACATTCACCAGGGGTCAGGAATCCAACTCCTCAGATAAACAGATTTGAGTTCAGTAGGGCAGTTCTCTGGCCTGTGTTATACACAAGGCCAGACTAGTTGATCACAATGGTCTCCCAGTGGCCTTGGAACCTATTGTCCAAATTGAAATGTCTCTGAGCTTTGGGAAGACAAATCCTTATCCAGATTCCAATTCTTCAAGTGAACTCCAGGTGCATAATAGGACAAACTGAACCCCAGCTCCCCAAACATGATGTTCTGTATCAAAGCATTTGGGCCAGAGACTGTCTTTCTGTTGTGTTGTGTGCATTTCTGGGCACACGACTGGCACCAAACTAGTAACTGTAGAAAGAACGGAAGCTGCTCAAGGCTGAACTAACATCCCCTCCCTGCGGTCCTGCATCCCCGGACTTCAGCATCTGTGATATAGTTCCAAACTGTGTCCCTTGCTCCCATCACTACCCAAGCAGAGCTAAAGCGCTTTGGGACAGGGACTGTCTGTAGTGGGGTGGCCCCTTACTGAGGACTCCCTCCTTGGCAGAGGTGTTTCTGCAGGCTCCCCACCTCTGTTTGTTTCCTCTCTTCGGGGCCCTTTAAGAACTCACAGAGACTTTTTCTGATTACTTAACAATACCCCTGCCTGCAGCTAGTTTAATATCAGAACCAGTTCACAACAACCCAGAGTCCCCAACTGAAGTCCATACATAGCACTGGCATTTTTTCTCAGTCCCAGGGCTTTTCTTTCAACTCTGAGCTCCTGGCCAGTCCTCCCAGCACTCCCTCCCTGGGGCTCTGACATCCAGTCCCAAACACAGTCAGGGGTCCCCTTGCCCGCTGCCTCCTGCTCACTGGGCTTTACCCTCCAAGCTCCTGCTACCAGAGTCTTCTCTCATTTTTTGGTTCTCTTTATAGGGAAGTGCCTGATTCCCCTCAGGTGGGGCTCATTCCAAAGCCAGGGTTGGCTTAGCCCCAGGTCTCCAGCCCAGCAGGGCAAGCCATCCGGTTACAATGGCTCTCTCTCATATTTGCACAGCACCTAGCACAACAGGGTCCTGGCCCATGACTCGGGCTCCTAGGTGTGACCACAGCACAAATGATAAATAATAATAAATACTACTAATAAATAAAAAGTAATGCAAGATAGTGAATTGCGCAGCCTGCAGGCCCATTCTCACGTCTCTAGCTTTGCTGAACCATGTTCCCATTCCATTTACATAGTTGTCAAGTTGTAAAACAAGAGCCCATAGTGGCTGAATGCTCTGGAAAGTGGCCGGGGGCTCCTGGTGACATGAAAGGCTCCTTTGAGAACCCAGCATTACCATAGCAGAAGAAAGCACGCAGCCAGGCAGGCACTGCTGGGCTACTCGGCACTATCAGCGAGGGAGACAAGGAAATAATGGCGTTGCTAAGTACCAGGGAATGATAAGCAGGCATGGACATTCAGTGTGAAGGGCTGGGAGATAATAAAGCAAAGGGAAAATGGCAAGTGGAGCTGAAAGGGAAAAAAAACATTCCCAAGTCCACAATGCTCCCTGTGCTTAGCAATGAGCACGCAGGCCCCCAGCAATGGCTGATTAGTTCTGGCCTCCTTGCTGTGTTTTGTGGTGGGTGCAGAGCACTAGTCTAGGAGCCATCTGAGCACATCGCTCTCTAACTCCTCCATCCCTTGGCTGCATTTTGGGTGCAGTCGCATATACGTCAGGGCCAGAAGGGTTCATGGAAAGCGCTCTAGCAGGTCCCATATCTAACCTGTGTGATTTGCAGTGCTTTCCATTGCTTTTATACAAACATGCCACAGTATTGTCCATTACTAGTACTAGGGTGCGCTGCAGTCACGGTGCAAAGCAGGGCAGGCCTTACACCTACTTGATCCCATTGGTCTACATTTACACTGGGGGGTGACCATACAATAACAGCAGTGCACTGTATGGGACAGTTACCATCCGGGCCCATCACAGAGTTTGGAGAAGTGTGCCGTGTTCCAGCATGCGACTAGTGCTTTTATAAGGTCAAGCCAGCCCCCACAGAACAGCCCAGAGGGCTCTTTAGCCGACAAGGTGTAAACACGGCAGGGAAAACAAATTTCCCCCAAAAGCTGGTTTAATTAAAGAAAAATAGATATTTTTAGAAACTACCTTTGTTTGGTTTTTTAGAGGGGGGAGGCTTTGGGCCCTAAGCCAACAGAGGAGTGTTCAAAGCCCTTGGGAGCAGGGTGGTGTTTATAGAGGCAGAGGTCGCAGTCCCGACTCCTCGATCACAAATAAATTGCCTTGAATCTCCAGGACGAGTATTTGTTATTCTAGGAGTAGGTAGTGAACGGTAGCTTTTACAGCTGGAACACAAGTGGCAGTGAGGGGGAAACAGCTGCCTAGCAGGAAAGACAAATCAGATTGTTTTAGTGGGTAATAAAATCCTAAAGCACTGGACTTTGGATGAGCCACTCTGTTGTTCTAGGGTCTGCAGGCAAACACATTTCCTTATTCAAACAAGCACACCTCCCTCATAGCCCAGGAGGCAGCTGAAGGGCAATTCTTTTTAGCTGGAGAAATACTTTAGCAGTGTTAATAAAGACTGAGGGCCTGATCTACCTCTTACTCCACTTTATCCTGGTGAAATTCCATACGCCTCACCGAAGTCACTCCTGATTCACAGCAGGTAGACTTCACTGGAGTTACACCAGTTAACTGCCTAGATGTCACTGGAGTTGTCCTGATTTACATCACTTAACTCCATAAACTTAATTGGGGTCACTCCTGATTCACATTGGGGTAAGTGAAGTCAGATTTCAGAACTCAGTTTAGGCCAAATTTTACATGCCAGGTGTGATCTGGTCAGAGAATGGGGTAAGTGGAAAATGGTCACGGGCACTGTTTGGTGTTCTGTGAGTGTGCAAATGAGGGCTCACTCACCTGTCCAGCTGCAGCTCCTTTCAGCAGAGAGACTGAGGGGGCTTTGCTGCTATTGTTACTCAAGCTAGCTGTGATCTGGCTAGATCACAGCTAGCTTGGGAATGTCTACATGGGCACAATAACCCCTTCCAGTTGCAGCGTATTCAGTTCCTTAGGGAGGCAGCATGGCCTAGCACAGTGGTTTTCAACTTTTATTCATTGGCGGACCCTTACAAAAATTCAAATGGAGGTGTGACCCCCTT